CGCCAATCAAGACATTGTAACACACAACATCCGGCCTGACATTTCTCACGCACATTTCATCGAACATCTCGAGGGCATTCTCCCATTCACCAATTTTCAGCAGCCCGCCAATGACGGTACCGTAGCTAACACAGTTCGGTGTCAGCCCAGCAGCGCCCCGGACCGCATCAAGAAGCCCAAGAGCACGACGGGTCTGATTCCGGGCGCAAAGGCCCCGAATGAGGATGTTATAAGTCCCAATATTAGGAGAGACATCGTGGTTGTTGTGAAAGCAAGAGAAAAAGGAGCGAGCTTGATCCCAGCGGTGGGACCGGACGAGGGAGTCGAGAACGGCATTGTGGGACCTGACGCCGGGGAGGCAGCCGAAAATTCGCGGGAGATCGCCGAAGACGCGAAGGGCGTCATCGGGGAGGTGGGCCCGGGAGAGGGATTTGAGGGCAGCGAGGGCGGCGTCCTCCGAGAATCTCAGGCGAGGGATGGAGGGGAGGAGGCGGAGGAGGCGGAGGAGGTGAGGAGGAGAGAGGAGCGAAGTGGGGGTGGGCGGCGGTGAGAGTCTCCAGATGGGAGAGGGCGGTGACGGGATCCCTTGGGGTGGTGAGCTTGATGAGGTCGACGAGAGGTCGGATTCGCGGGGGCTCGTCCCTCATTTATTCCGCGTCGGGTCGATTTCGGCGGTCGGCCAACTTTGCGAGTTTTATCACGACATTTGAAATGTTGCGGGGAGAGGGATTTGTTACGAGTAAACCCCTTTGCTTCCTCCTAATGGCGATTTCCATTGTAGTCCCTTGCTTCTTCGGATTTTGACACTAGTCCCTCCTTGCATCTTTAAACTTGCTATTTAGTCTCTTAAATCCTACAAATTTTTGATCGTTAAGAATATCTCCCTGTGGGGCCGTGTTTATTATGGCTAGCAACACGCTTAGCGGTGACAATAGGGCGCTCAACGCTAATCGTGATTAGGATCAGACCATGTTGATGTGCACGTATCATTGATTTAAGTTAAGAGCGTAACATTACATTTGAGGTAACCAGATTTGTCTAATCAGTTGGGGTTGGACCATCAGGTTATTCCTAAATTAGCGATGATGGAGCTAGGCCCACGGAGTAGCGGTGTCGATAAATATATAAATAAATAAAATATGATATTTATAAAAACACCCAAACAGAGTTTCAATATATTTTTGGAAAAACTATATCTAATAAAAATTGAGCTAATCTTAGCTTGGTTCTCCTTAGGCCAAAAAGTAACTCTTAAACGAATACTTTGATGGCCCGGCCCCGCTTGGTTTATTCTTAATCTAGTTAGGATAAAACCGGATCGTGAGCAATCTTGAAACATTATTTTGGATAAATCATGATGGCATAGTTACAACTCTCATAGTGTGCTACAAAACCCTTTAAACTTGACCAAGATTGATCTAGCCCAGACCAATTCAGCAATTTATCGAGATTTTTTGGCCGATTTTTGCATTGCACCTTGTAAACTTGCCCAACCTCTGCTTTGTTCCTAGGCTAGTTACGATAAACTAAGTTAGGACTATTCGAGCCTCCATTTTTAAGGGTTTGCCAAATACATCCTAAGGCTATACCCTAAGGATAAGTATAAACATATGTAGGATATGTTAACAGGTGTGTTTGGCCACCCATTACATAATGTTGCTTCACCTCTGCTTGCAAGTGTGCAATACTACTGATAATCAAGTGATGTAGCTGTCTATAAAGATTAACTTAATGACTCGTCAAGGGCTACACATATATGATCTCTCTTTTGCAGTGTAGAAATAGTATGAGAGAAAGTAGACTGGTTATCAATGTTGTTAATGATATGTAAGTTTCTTTATATTAGAATAAATTGTATGATTTATTGCTTTTAATAAAGATGTTTACATTCAAACATAGCATCTTTTTCTATAATATTTTCCTTTATTATGTGTTTACTTTTCTTATTACGGTTTTTTTACTAAGAAACTTTTAAAGGAGTATGTGTATGTGCATAAGGTACTTTAATCCCTTATTTTTAATCAAGGAGATTATAGAAAATATTTCTCAATTTCGTTTATTTCAACACTTGTAAATAAAAAACCTTTTTCAATAGCACTATACATGGAATACATCACGTTTTGTATATATGTATATATTTTAGAAAAGTGGACTAGTATTTGTTTTCCTTGATAAGAGTAGTTAAGACAAATGCAAACTAGCAATCTCAATATTTCACAACGCAATATTATATCAAAAATAATATCATCAATTTAAACATAAGAAATGAATCGAAGGCATGTACCATCGAAGATGGTCATTCTACCACGTCAAATAAATAATATACTGGTTGATCAAATTTTAGAATCCAAACAATAACTTGGGTTCCCTTTTCTCCCCGGTTCCTACACTCGCATTTGTTTCCCCAGTTAAAATCTGGGTGCGAAAAAAGTTTCAATCTCTCCCTCTGTGAGTATTTTCCTCCGCTTTCTATTATTTCCCTTTGTATTACTTGTAAAAAAAATCCATGTGAATCAACTAATTATCTAATTTAGCTGCAAAATCATCGACAAAATTTTGTAGCCAAATTATTGGGAGGTAGTTATTTTTAGTCACCAGTTACTACTTTCTTTCGGTTGTTGTTATTCTTCTTCTTCGTACGGTTCGAACATATTCCCTATGTTATAGTTTATGCATTTAGAATTGGGATTTATTATGGAATTGAGGGGTTACGGGATCCGGCAACCTCCATTTATTTTCGTGTGTTATTTGTAGAATCGCTTCTAAAGTTATAAAAGCTATGATCATCCGATTCCTTCAACACTTTTTGATCTTTTTATCTTTATTCTTATTGATTGATTGGTTTCCCTTATTATATTTTCTTTTTCAGGCGGAGAAGATGCGCTCCGAGTTCTTCAATGGTGATACTATTTCTTTGTTTAAGGAAAAGTTTTGTAGATCTCAATCAAAGTAGAAGAAAATCGTAGGATTTTGTTTAGTTTATTTCTCCCCTTTATTTATTCTTTAGATTAATCTCACGATCTGCACTCTTTTTGGAATGAAACTAATATACAGCGATTCTAGTTCTATCTGAAGAGTTTTCGGGTTTGCAAGAGTAACTAATGATTTGAAGTTTTCTCCCAAAACCTACCCAGGTTTATATTGAGAAATTCAAGTTGGACGATTAATGAACAACTTAACCTGTATTTATCATTTTCTGGGGGAAAAACTATGTGATTCAAATAATTATTAATTATAGATATTAGCGGTCACCTCAGTCATGTTTCGTACACTGCAGTGCAATTAAAAATAAAATAAAATAAATAAATAAAGATGCGCCTAAGACCAGCGCATTGGGACCGTAATAACTGCATAGCTGGCGCTAGAAAATCTATATAATAACACTAACACTAACCTTATCTTATCTATTATATATATATATATACATCGCTGATATAAAATTAGAAAGAAAACCCCTTTATTTTACAGAGGTCTTTTTGAAAAGGCTAGCCATTTTCTCCGCTGAAATATTTCGTGCTTGCCTCTCGTGAGTATTTTCCCCCCTTTTCGGTATTAGTAAATACTAATTAATAATCGTTTATTACCTATTAAATCCTTCCACTGTTTAGTTTCTTCGATACTAATTGAAGGATATTTACCTTATAAATTAGTAAAATCATTTCTTTTTCGTTTTTCTAATTGGGGTTTAAGATATGTATTAGATCTAGATGTATGGAGTCGAGTCACTCATCGATGCTGCAAAAATCTTTTTTTCTTTAAAAAAAAATTATTTTCTGTTTGAAATTTTGCAAGAAAAGTTTCAGCTCGGCTCGATTCCATCTGTATTTTCGATCTCGTTGATTACTGTATATATTTCGTCGTTCTGACCCTTGCGATAATTCGTAATTGCGGAGGCTACTGCTTCTCCTCAAAATCCTCAATTTTGCTTCCTAAAAAAAAATTCAATTTTTTTTAGGGAGGCTCCCGCGCTAATCGAATATATCCCCAATGGGCGAGGTCTCTCTGAGCCCCTGCGCGGGCTGCAACAGTGCCGAGGCCAAGATCCGCGCTCTTTTAGATCACATCACGAAGAGTTTCTTGGACGATCCGGCCAAATTCCTAGGGTTTGAAATCCCGAAATCAGGGCCCGCTGACTACTCCGAGCTCTTCCATCGGTGGGTCCGGAAATTCGAAACGGATGCAGATTCTTCCGAGTCGAGGCCCTCTGCTATGTGCCCGGATCTGAAGAAGAGGATCGAGGCGCTCGTGTACGAGCTGTTGAGTGAGAGATACGGAGTTGCGAAGAGGAAAAGGGAGCCGGCGTCGGATATGTTGGCATCGCTCAGGTGTTTCGCCGCTAACCCTTCCTTTGACCGGGCAGGAAGACGCCGGGAGGGCTGGGTCGACGAGGTTCTCAGGGCACGGAAAGCTTTGTTTCGGAGGGATGAGGACGGCTGCAGCGCTCTGGGGCTTCCTTTTCTGGTAACGGCGCAAGACATCATTCCTCATTGCTCTTCCTGCTTGATTTATTTGAGGGACTCTTATCTGCATAAAACCTTTGCTCTTATCTGGAAATAGATTAGTCACTCAGCTGAAAATTTAGTGCTGCCATTGCGAACGTTGACCGATAAGAACTGAACTGGCCAGGCCAGACCAGACCTACACCTGCCTGGCTATCTCTATCCGACTCGAACCCTGTTTATGGAAACTTGACTGACAGCACCATTTAAATTTCTATAACTGCAGCTTCTTAAATGCTATCGTTTGGATCTCAGGTATGCACATTGCAAAAAAATCTCTAAAAAAAATATAGGCTGCCTATCCACCGAGCTATGTGCAGAACAAACTTACAGGCTGAATGCATGCAGAGCAAGGAAAACGATATGTAGTGGATGCTACGACTGGCCAATCCATCTGGAAAGTCAAGGAGGACATGATCTCCTTGCTACGATCTGAAGTAGATTTTTTGGTATCTGTGAATAATTAGCAATACTGTTGAATATGCATCTTGCATTGAGTCGGTAGGTAGGGACGTGTGAATCTAGGATGAATTAGTAGGTCTGGTCCGTCTGGATAAAACGAAATAAGATGTTAGATTTAAGTGCTTTAAAAAGCGGGCGCCTAGACCTGCGTGCCTACCTACACCTAGGCGATGTTTTGGTTGTCTACCTAGCTCTTGGGAGCGCCAACGGGCAGTGGGATGCTTATGCAGACTGCACTGCTTAGGTCTTGGTTGTAATTTTCTTCATTGCAGCCTCCACGTCATCCAAACTCCTCCAGCCTCATTCACCAACTATAAACACTTCCTCCGACCTTCAGCAAAATCTTCATTGCCACTTTAAACAAATAAAGAAATCCGCCTAGCGCCGGCTCAACATCTAACGCTTTCTATAACATTGGCATTTATTATCAATTATTGCAATTAAAAAATATATAAAATAGGAAAACCGCCTAGATGCCTAGGCTCTACCACAGGGTCCGACGCCTAGGCCGCCTACCACTTTCTGTAACCTTGTTAGATTCATTCCGTACGGAGTAGGGAGCTGATCGGATATACAGCTAAATTACTTCGCATCCAAGAATCTGTTAATAGTTTCCTTTCTAGATCAACGTTCATACCTATTAACTAATCGATTGTCTCTCCTTATCCAACTTTGAAAGATTTCAATGTTGGTGATTATACTGCATCCAAGTTTGGCCTGATTTATTTTTAAAATTAAGCTCAATTATGCCCTTGTTTCTTGTCTTCTTTTCTAGGCTAAACTCAAACAAACCTTGTTCAACTCAACGCCTAACTCCTTAGAAACCTTTTGAACCTCACTCTGACCATCTCAGTACTATATTTAAAGAATGTCGAAATTTATGAGCAATGTTGTGAAATGCAAATGTGGTTTGCATGAGGTCAAGATACCATAATACATAATCCGATCAGATGATGCACAAGTGAATTATGGGAGTAATCTTAGAACTGAATTATCTTAGTACTAATAAATGTTGAATATTCCCAAAAATAAAAGGAAAAAATATCAACATGTGGAAAAACCCTATCCCAAAAGCCTTATTAGTTGGATTCGGATCCTTTCCAATTTCAAATAATAGTAATACACCTGAAACATTTTGTACAAAAACTTATATAATGCATATTTAATTAGGTGAAAACTATCTAGATTATGATAAACAGTGATAAAAATATTTATATGAAGTTAAAGTACGAAGTTAATGGTTTTCACTTTTCATATATTAAATCTGAACCAACACCCAAGTAAGAAAGGAAAAAACAACTCGTATCGGCAATTGGCAGTATTTAATATTCAATTGGCACAAAATTATATTCAATATTCAAATTAAACTGGGACTTGAGAAAAAGAAGAGAGTTCTGCCTAAATCAAACTCCAAGACTTTCCAACATTTTCTTTAACTGTCCTGATGTTTTCTAAGTTTTTTCTAATCTTCAACCTTTTGCTTTCTGGTGTTAAGTGCTAACCCTTGGTTGACCGCTTCCTTTTGCTCAATAGTTCTTTATTTTAGCAATCAAATACTTTTATAGAAACTTCTCTTGCTTCGTTTTTGCATGATTCCTGTTTCATTCTCTTATCAATTAAAATCTCGCATGTTTCAGAAAAAGCAGAAAACACATAAATTTCTTCGTGCAACAGACAATAGTCCAGGTTCACCTCATTTGGTAAACGAGCCAATAAGAAGGTCTAAACGAGCATTGCTAAAAATCGGTGGAGGCGAATTTTCAAGAAAACGCATTCCTCTTGGTCCCTTCTTTCAGGCTGATGTACCTGAATGGGCAGGTCCACCAAGTAAAAAGGATTTACTGGATGATACCTATAAGTGGCTGGGAACCAAACTTTGGCCAATAGAAGGTGATAATAGACAATTCGATGTGGAAGTTATTGGTAAAGGAAGGTCAGACTCGTGTGATTGCACTTCTCGAGGGTCTGTTGAGTGCATCAGATTCCACCTAAACAAGGCGAGGTTTCAGTTTAAGTCTGAATTGGGTCCAGCTTTCTTTAGTTTAGGCTTTGATGACATGGGTGAAGAAGTCTCTAAATCATGGACACAAGAGGAACAGATGACATTCGATGATCTTGTGAGACAGAATCCATCATCAGAGGGTAAGAGCTTCTTTGAACCTGCTCTGGAGTACTTCACTGCCAAAAGCAGGCGAGATATTGTGAGCTTTTACTTCAATGTATTTGTTCTACGGTGGATGAGCATCCGAACCAGGCTGGGTGCTTGGACAGTTGATAGCTGCGATGACGAAAACTTTGGATGAAGTTGAACAGAATGGAAGGTCACATTGGGCATCATACTTCACAAGGTTGAAAATGATGTCTCAGATTTTTCTCTCCTTTTCACACTGATAGTAAATTGTTGCTTATCTGCAGCTTCAAGCGCATCTAAGCTGTGTATTAAGTTTCTGAAATTAGCTTCCTTCTACGTTAGTATAGACAACACTTCTGCAACAACCAATCAGAGATGAGAGAAAATGTGGTGAAAAGGATATAAGATGACCCTTACTATAAATATTTTGGTGGGCCCCGGACATTTCCAATTATAATTTGACATAGCTAGACCTCTGCCAATTGACAAGTGCTTGCACTCCACCCTCTTGACTTGAGTAAGCTTGAACAGAGGGCATATGTAGAAGGTGAGATATCATACTCTTCTTCAGGTGTTCTTTACATAGCAATATAATATTCTTACAGGTAGTTAGTTTATTCTCGAATTTTTTCTTTTTAACTTTGGCTAAATGTTTTTACCCTCGACTTTTGTTTCAGGTGTCTTACAAAATATTGACAGTTTCTGCTGATTTGTTATTTGGCATTTAATGATAGATTATTACTAGTGGGCGGTGATAAGTTGAGCTTCTGAGATTATGGGAGAGAAGGTTCATTGCACTTAAAAATTTCATGCCAGAGGAGAAGTTTACACTGTTTACACCAAGGTGATCACTTTAACAACTATAGATTAACTGTTTCGCGAATGACACCTGCAGAAAAATTTAACTGACATAGAAGTTTCCATATTACTATGTCATTTCTTTATAACTTCTTTCATTTATAGAAATTTGAGAAAATTTGAAACTTGTTATTCAAAAGCTATCTTGAACCAATATTCATTCTAGGGAAGATCTCCTGAAGAATCTTTAGTATCAGCAATTGCTGCAGTTCTATTTCATGCTATTTTAATTAGTTTATTATTTATATTACAACATATCTACCAGCATCTGTTGGTCAGTCATTTTTAAGGGCTAAAGTCAAGCTTGCCACACTGAGCTCATCCAGTTTTGTTTCAAAAGATTAATTTTCATTCCAGTTGTAGTGGTCAACCTTTAAGCTGCAAAGTAGTTGCTCTCAGTTGTCTCTTCAGTTCTCTGCCTTCATTTATCAGGCCCAGATCATAGTTTGAGCATTTAGCCAGGAAAAACTAAAGCATTATTGGTCATTCCGACTGCAAAAATTAAGGCTCGTTCTTGCAATGTGTCGTGAGTAGTATTAAGTAACACAAGGGCACAAAAAGCAGCTATATTTTCTTCTTCTTTAAGCACAAAAAGCAGCTAACATGCAAGCGCTCAGTCATAACCCCAAACTGTCCCCCTATGCCGTCCTTCAGCCTTTCAGATACCATGTACCAGTATATTTTCTTCTTCTTTAAGCAGCAATTTATCATGAGGTTATTTGGTGACACAAGGGCTAAGGAGTAAGGATATTGAAGCTCCAAAGTTTGGTCAGTTCTGTTGCTCCCATCTATGTGTGTTTAAGTCATTAATGTTGCTTCTGAGCATTTTATGAATTTTTCATGGATTTTGAGGTACATTAGCATATTAAGCGTTACTTGGGTAGTTAATTATTTAAAATTTAAAAGCTGTGATGACATGAAATTTGCACATTATTGAGCACTTCTCTAAACTTTCTTTATAAAGAAAGAATTGGTTATTAGTTGTTTATGTGGGTTAACAAGCAGCAGTTACCTCACATGTTTGAGTATAAATTGTCGGATAATATATATTCCCAACATGTGGAAAGATCATAATGCTATTCTTTTGAAGCACAACAATTAATATTCCTTACCAAAAGTTCTTTCTTAGTTGTGTAAACTCTTTGGTTTTCCCTCTATTTCTACATATTTCATCTCATGCATGATTCAATTTTCATATTCGACAGCATTGATTTTTAATGTTAAAATTGATCCTCCAACTTGTTTAATATGTGATCCCTCCATCTTGATCTTGACAGTATGCTCTGTTGGCAGCATCGTGATCTGGAGACACATTGATTCTTGGTTTGAAATGCAACTTATATTCATAATCTTGCTTTTATTTGTACGGTGTTGAATAGTCTGCCTCAGGTGGAACTACTCACGAGTCACGATATTAGCCTTCCTATTCATTGTTGGGTTGGGCCTATTGGCCAATTACCTTTAGTTATGATTTTGTATCAAAGTGATTATAGTGTTATACAACCCGAAATATGTTCCAAAAACTAGCATTTATATCCTAGCACTCATTAGTAGATAGGGTCTTCTATGCGATGGAGCTGCTTAAAGTGAATTCCTGTGTAGAGCAGCGTATGCTAAATAGCCATGAATGAGCTTCATTGAACTGTAATTGACAATGTCGGTCACCCCTGAATCCTTGTTCCTAGACTTCATGAGCTATAAACTTGTTGCAGAAAGCTCTTTTTTTTTTCACTTGGTGCTATCCCTATGGTTTACTCTGGTTTGCTGTGGAAAGTTGAAAACCGTCAAGGATTTTTGTCTTCCCTTTTGAATCATAAAATTCATAAAAGATTGAGAGAGTCCAAATTATACTCCAGTAACATACTTGGGTATGATTTTATACAAGTTTTTTATTAGAAAAGGTTAACATTAGCCTTCCGAACCATGCAGAAGCATGATGTAAATCCATGGATGAAGGATAAATCCACAAAAATTGCAGGGTCAAGAAGAGGTGGATGTCTGGTTTTTGTTGAGACTTGGAATTATAGCTTCTCCTCTTTTTTTAAAGCTTTACCCATATTTATAATTATAGGTATATGCTACATTATTTCAAGTTGCCAAGAAAATGTAATCTTTTCCAGAACTCTGTCCAACTTCTAACTTCTTTCCTCTTTTGATCTTATTCCATATCTTGATCCCCCATTTTGATCTAGGCCATAGATGATATTTGCGAAGTTGAACCACAATCGTTGTCCAGTAACTTAATGTTGTCGGACCAGTAACTTGTAGATTAAGCTGTTTGCAAAATCTACCTTGTTGGTTAAGTTTTCATTCCAAGTGGTTATCCAACATAGACAAACCCTGGTTACTTGTGTCAGAAAAATATCAAGAACATTAACCGTTGTGATCTGCATTTTTTTTCCCTTCAATGTTTCTATGCTTAACTCAACTTAGAGAGCTCCTACATCAGCATTGTACAGGAAAAAAAAGCTTCCATAAGCTTGCTCGAGCTATCAGACTTGAAAGCTGATTCCTGTTTAGCTTTTCCTTCTTCGCTCTATGTTGTTTCTCTCCTGGTGAAGAATCAGCCACCGTCACCTTTGTTTTGAGAGAGAGATCTCTTGGCTCTTATTCTCAAATGATGTGCTGGAAACGGTCTTCAATGGACCTGCCTTGCGAAGTCCACTCATAACTTGCCCTATGTCTCAAGTAATTCTAGTTTTGTGCGGAACATATTTGGTTCCATGCTTTGGCTCTGCTCTTGAAACCAAAAGTTTATTTCTAACCGAATATCCAGGGAATGGACAATCTGAATTATGAAACAATGGAAATTATTCTGCAAAATGTACTCATGTTTGTAAGAAGCTTTTGTTTGTGTTGATCTTCAAACTCACACACATGCATGAAATTAGAACTTTTAGCTCGTTGCACTTGCTTTATTACCAATAAAAGGGAAAACCAATTGAGATGGGAATGGATCCATTCCTTGCTTTTCTTTTTCTTTTTTTGTCCTACGGACCAAAGGGTGATGATACCTATGCAGCCCAATCTAACTTTTATTACAGTGGACGCCACACTCTCATATGATGAGTCTATTTTGCGAACTCCAAGGCGTTGCCCTGCATCATGCAGCCCCTCCAGCTTTTCATAGTGCCGGGGGCCAAAGAGCTCTTTGGAATATTGCACATCCCTAAGAGTGATTTGCTTAGAAATTGTCCCCCATTCTCGTGTTCTTCTCCTATGCCAAACAATGGATCCCTTCATTGGGATTCTCCTACCATGTGTATGTATATAAAAAGGCACAGTTGTAGGCTTGTAGTATAGTTGAAGCGTGGTTTAATTAAAGGGGGGCTTTTAATTAAGTTAGTCGTGGTCGTCGTCTTCGTCATCATCATCATGTGGCCTCTAAAAGTTGTGAACCCTTAAGACTTTGAGTTGGGGACGGGTGGAAGCTTGTGCAGAAATTGCTGAAAAAAGAAGGCTGCTTTGCTCAACGCTCATCGGGATCAAGAGCTAGGCCCAAGTAATACCACATGGTATGGCAATCACGTGCTGCTATTCTCTTTTTTCTCCTTGTGGCCCTATGTGCAATGCTCGTGTCTTGTCCTTATAGAGGAAAATTCTGATGGGGTAAAAAAAAAATTTACATTTCATGCGTAATGATGAACTAGGCGTTTTTTTTTTACCGTTCTAAACTTTGCGAAATGTCTCAGTCAGACCTTTCTCAAGAACAACCATGAATGGGTTTTACATATTTTGACATGGTGTGCAGTCTGCCTATTATGCTAATACTTCTGTTGTATTAGGCCGACGAGAGAAGCAAAAGCAAGTGGCGAGGGTCAGTTGGGGGAGTCGTCGGTTCGCCTATAGGCCAAGTTTGGGACTTGGTGTCACGGAGCGCTAGGCTCACTGAGTGGATGCCCATGGTAGAGAATTGCACCGAGTTGGCTGGTGAAGAAGGAAATCCTGGCTATGTTCGCCTAGTTTCTGGCTTCATGTTCCCTCGAGACGACGGTGGCCGATCGTGGATCAAGGAGGGATTGGTTCTCATGGATCCAGCTTCATTTAGGTACGTCTATAGGATGGAAGCAAGCAACGTGGGCTTAGATGGGTCTGTTAATTCACTGGCGCTCGTTGACTACGGGGAAGACACGACACTTGTTAACTGGTCATTTGAGGTAGATCCTGTTGCAGGCGCATCAGAAGAGGGCATCGTCGACTACCTGGGTTTTGTCTACAAGTCTTGTATCAACAGAATTGAGGGGGCCATAAAGAGTAGCTTGAAGAAAGATTTGGCGCCTTGAACGTTTGAGGCCATAAAGAGTAGCTTGAAGTAATTTTTTAGCCGTTGAAGTTGTTGTTTTATTTACATGCGCATACGCTGCTCTTATTACCTTAGGGACGAATAATAACTAGCTCGTCGTGGTTTCTACAGTTGAGATATTAATTGAAGAAAAGGTGGAGACTTTTATCATATAAATGATGGGAAAGAGATGGAGACCTGTGACAAGATTATTCATTCATGTCACGGTGTGTAATGTGATCTTCAAAAGATCTCCGTGTAGCTCTCCCGGATTACTTTTGTCTTTGAGTTCAGCATAGTTCATTGAGAGTTGCGGCTAATCTACATTCTAATTAATCAACTTTTTGTCTCCGTGTTAGTTGTTTATTAGGAGTCATTTATATTTCCCATAGAGAAAGGAAAATGTATATATTAGTTCTAAAGAAGGGATACAATAAGCATAGAAGTAAGGGTAAGGACAAAGTTTAGATCAAACTATATCTTATAAGAGCTCCAAAAGATGCTAACGAAAGACGTATTATTATGACAATTGAATCTTGCAGAGAACAACTTGTTGTTTTTGTTCTTGTTTTTTTAAATCCCAAACAAAAATGGACTGCATGCGCCCGAAGCTGCTTCATGCCCACACAATAGGACGTCCTCTGTACCTTTCATCATACGCTGAGATGATATATTATTTATCTAATTAAAAGCCAAATCTAATAAGATATCTACAGTTTTATTTGTACATTGGCTACATGGGCATTAGTCTCGAGTAGAGGTATCTTTTGTCACTATCAACGCATAGGCAATAATAGAACTCCACTATAACAAAGGCAACTTCCTCGATTGACATGAGCATGTCATAGATCCGGTTTTTTTTTTTCCGTCTTTATATACAGATGCATGTCCTGTTGACTTACTGATATCATATGACATATTAATCGTTAGTGTCTTTGATTCTTTGTATAACTTCGTAAGAATTAGATAGAGTTAGAGATATATCATGATTAGAAGATTGGATATCATCATAATTAGGAGTTTGAATCATATTCTAATTAGAAAGTTAGGCTAGAGATAGAGTTTTTGTTTCCCTATATATATTCTTCTATTGTTAGAGAAAAAACCAAGCAGAGAAGAGAGAGCCAATATTTTTGTAATCTAGGGTTAGCAGAGGACGTAACCTCATTCAAGAATATTAGGCGAGAGGCGAGGGTATCGCAGTCTTTGTCCGTGCAAAAGATTATATCATTGGGAGAGGGTTTTGTGGTCTTTGTCCGTTTAAAAGATTGTAAGGAGCGGGCTTCTGAGAGAATATGAGAGTTGATTATGTATGTGATGTTGAGAGATTGAGACGCGAGAGTTGAGTGGTTCCTCTTGTAGTTATCCCTGATACATAGTGGATTTATCGTATTGTTGCCCCGTGAACGTAGGTCGAAGTTGGTCGACCGAACCACGTAAACCTCGATGTTATTTCTTCTTGATTGTGGTTATTTTATATCTTGTTGATTGTGGTTGCCTTTCGAGTTGCGCAGATCGCAGTAGGCGAGGAGACTAAATTCCCCGACAAGTAGTATTAGAGTCATAATGATGGATCCGAGAGCGAGTTTGCAAGATAGACGTCGTACAAAAGTGAAGATTGGCGGCGTTACAAGAATCAATATGAAGAAAAAGAAAAAAAAGAAGGTACTGTAGTGACGAAAATATTTTTTACGTAGGTGAAGGTTTGGTTAAAAATTATTAAATCAAATCCGACAGTATAGATTAATTTGTCTTCTGAACAAGGGTTTGGAGGTAGATTTCGACAATTTAGGAGTTGATTCCTATGTTTTGGAGTGCTCTGAACGGAATGAGAGTGTCTGATTTTTCAGATTATGCTCAGATTAGTTAGAAAGTGTAGAAAAGTTTTGACGGTGATGACGAGACAGCTCTGATGGCAGATAGGGCAAACGAATATGTGATGGATGAGACTGGTGTAGAGAATCGGACGTGATTCTAGCAGTAAAGTTGTCAGCATATAATTGTTCAAAGTCATTGCATGAGCATGGGTTGGCTGGTGTGTAAACTCGAGGAAGACAAAACCAGATTAGGTGGAGCTTGCAAACGGGCACGACCGAGTGACACACATGGAGATGAAGATTATGTCATTGGACTTGAAGATGATGAACGCTCATATTCGATCCAAGCTAAGTGATGGAGGAAATAGAGGCATCTGACACATAGTGTGGAGTAGAAGAGGTACACTCATATGATCCGAGACGAGCGATGCAGGTGGAGTAAGAGGACAACAATTGGGGGAAGACTACTATCAAGTTTAGTCCGGGAGGAGAAGCATGGTTGATTTGCTTCTAATGTCAGAGGTGGCGAAGATCTCTTGGTGTACACAAGAGAGGTGGAGGCGCCACGGCAAAGCAGACAATAGCAAGGGTCACATGAAGTCTCAGTTGGAGTGCAGGTGCTTTGATTTGAAGTGTAAAAGAATAGAAGACTCTAACAGGAGAGACAAAGTTCCAAGACGGGGATGATATATCTTCAAGGGAGTTTAGGAACAAATTCAAGATGGAGATTGTTGGCATCGTGTCTTTGATTCTTTGTATAACTTTATAAGAATTAGATAGAGCTAGAGATCTATCATGATTAGGAGATTATGTCTCATCATGATTAGGAGTTTGAATCCTAATTAGGCTAGAGATAGAGTTTTGGTTTTCTTATATATATTCTTCTATTATTGGAGGAAAAACCAAGCAGAGAAGAGAGAGCCAATATTCTTGTAATCTAGGGTTAGCAGAGGTCGTAGCCTGATTCAAGAATATTATGCGAGAGGCGAGGGTTTTGTTTGTCCGTGCAAAAGATTACATCATTGGGAGAGGGTTTCGTAGTCTTTGTCCGTGCAAAAGATTACATCATTGGGAGAGAGTTTCGTAGTATTTGTCCGTGCAAAAGATTACATCATTGGGAGAGGGTTTCGTGGTCTTTGCCCGTTTAAAATATTGTAAGGAGAGAGCTTCAGAGAGAATATGAGAGTTGATTATGTATGTGATGTTGAGATATTGAGACGCGAGAGTTGAGTGGTTCCTCTTGTAGTTCTCCCTGATACATAGTGGATTTATCGTATTGTTGCCCCGTGGATGTAGGTCGAAGTTGGTCGACCGAACCACGTAAATCTCGGTGTTATTTCTTCTTGATTGTGGTTATTTTATATCTTGTTGATTGTGGTTGGCTTCCGAGTTGCGCATATCGCAGTAGGCGGGTAGACTAAATTCCCCAACACTAACAATATATCTATCTTAATAATATCCTTTAATCCTATTTAATAATGAATGTGAAGGTTTTACAATGAAACCATGCCGTATATGTTTTCGGGCAAATTAAACGGGCTCAAAGGTCAAAACAGAGAAGTTTAGGAGTTTTTCCCACTCTCTTTTTTTTCGTTTTCAATTAATTTACCAGTATTTAGAAAATAAAGCTTAATTGCACGCGATTAACTAGCATGTTACGTCCAAAATGAGAGCCGTAGAAGAAAGGAAAAACCCATCAATGGACCGTCGCTGAAGTGAAGGGCTCAGCCTGATTGTTTGTTTTGGAGGAAGTTGTGTTTCTGTCTCAGGTTTGAAAGCTCGGTCTGCTTCATATAATAATTTCCTTAAAGAGAGCATCTACGTCTCTCGTCTTTCGTTCACAGTGGGTTTGTCTCCTCTTTCGAGTGAAGCTGATGCCAGCTCCTGTCACCAGTAGCAGTAGGTATGTCAAAAAAGTATCAGCCAGCAATAACAATAACAATAAATAAAAAACCCATCTCACAAACTTCATCAAAGAAAAATATTACCTACATTTACACCCAGCGGTTGAGGAGACAAGCTAGCAGAAAGGAAAAGAGCAGGTGTGGGGTTGCATTATATGAGGACACAACCAGAAACACGCTTTATTAATTATTAGCACGTGTATCCCTCTTCTAACCGGTGGAATGCAAATCTCTATGCGCCGCATTCAAGTGGATAGTTTGAAACTAGAATTTTCTGTTTGTCTCTTTGTTCTCTCCCTATATGGCTTAGAAATCAAGCTCTCGATTGCGCGCGCGGATGTTCTGATAAAATTTGCACTCCGTCTGGTGGTGTAACTCCATTTTGTAGAACTAGTTATATTATTATTTAGGTTGCCGTATATTTGGTGCGCTTGTACAATAAAAAAGATGGTATTGTACTTTTTTTTGGCTCCAAATGCTATAATTATTAGCACTCAAACCTCGCTGCATGTTTGATATCATAATACAACGTATTCATAGTAACAAATTAAGTGTCATAATGTTGTAAGTAATTAAGCACAAAATTAAGCAAGATATTATAAAAAGGTCCGATTTTGGTAAATGATGATTAACGCCGCATATTTCCCGTTGGTAAATTTCTAGAAAATGTGGCCAAATTACATTGGGATTCGATCACAAAAAGCTTTTCCCTTTGAACGGCTTTCTCGCAGCAAGGAAAACCCAACGGTCCCTTAACCTCTTTCACATAAATAAACCTACTACTATTTTTCTTCCTTTTCGACTCATTATATTCCCTCAAATGCCCCGTTTATTCACCCCCTGCTCACTAGGTGGTGGATAATTATAGTGATACTCATTTCCGCTTCTAGTGACGAAAACTTCTTGTTCTTCTTCGGAGAGCGGGAAAGTAGGAGCTTCATCGCCATCCTCCTCGAAGATTGCGGAAGTAGCATTGCAGGACTTGCCTTTGCCCTTTCTTCTCGAGGAAGTCGCCCACTGTTCGTCTTCAATGAGATCGGGATGAACCCAGAGGATTTCGCCGTTTGGGGCTGTGTGTGGCACAAGTCCTTTTTGGCGCTGTCCATGTGGGTCATCGTTCACTGTCTTCATCCCTACTTTGGTGATGCGCTCCGGTTTGAACCATGTTGTGGGCACCGATCCAAAGCTGATTGAAACCGATCCAAACCTGATTGAAACCACGTTTGCTCCAACATTCTTGGACGGCTTCGGGGTTATGACGCCTACATCAATTAGTGCCT